TCCTCTAGCTCTATACTATTCACTATACTATTTCTCTATACTGATCACTATACGGATTACTATTCGGTGGTTACTATTCGAGCGAGTATTATCGAGCAAGTACTATTAGTGCGAATGATATTCGAAGGCGTTTGACAACAGTATTGTTCAACGGCGTTACTATAGTTGTATCTAAAAAGTCTCTATTACAACGAGCATTTCAAAAGTGACAACGAGTATTCGTTGATATTACAAAAGTGGCACCGAGTGTTCGTTGACATCACAAAAGATAAAACCTTTAATTTGATTTCATTATCCAACCATTGACAATGACCCAAGAAGAGAAAAATCAGCAACCGTCAACAAGGGATTAGACTTGCCGGAACAAAGGGTAAGCATAAGTTTTCTTACCAAGTACGATCCAATAGACAGATGGTCTATTTTATGGTGGATTAAGGGTAAGCTTCATCACTGATTTCATTCCAAGTCCACGTCCTAGTTTCTGTTTTGGCAAAATTTAGTGTGAAGGTTTGGCATCATTCTATTGAAAAACATTTGTTTTCATTGATGTGAAAAAGTAATTTGTCTTGTACCATTGACATTAGTATCGCTGATGACCAGCTTTTCATCGTAACAGGCCGGTATTCTGACAGCGTTTAGAAGTACAATACATCTCGCCACAAGGCACAAGTTTTATGGAAATGAATTTGGAAAGTATGAAGAAGACATCACTGTTTTACTCTAATTAACAAATCTCCGTAAAACTCCATTGAGTCCTTCCGAAATGTTAAACTGCATATCTTTAACCTTGAAAGTTACATCAGTTAATATCTTGACACCAGATCCCAGAAATCTCTGATCGTTGAAATACTGTGTTGTGGGTAAATGTCAGATGGTTGCAAGGGTTGGTGTCCGATTTTAATTGTTAAAAATTGACTGTAACTTGAGTCTAATGCTTGCTTCATTGCTGATTTCTGCTGTCTACTGGATTGCAACTTTGCCTGGTGTAGTTGTGAGTCCCAGAATTTTTTGAATGTTGACGTTTTCTCCACAAATGAATGCCTTAAAAATGGAGGATAAAAAGATGTACGTCTGCCATATTATGCTGTATGAATTTTGGAAAGAAGCTATCAACGGAACTGCGACAAACGACATTCAAAAGGTTTATTTGGATCGTGCTCCAGCTCTTCGGATGATCAAAAAACGGATTGGCAAATATTGTCCGAGTGATTTTAATCTAAACAATCAGCCTCGCTCCCGTTGATCTTCTGACATCGATGAACACGCTTTACCTGTGATCGTGTAGAATAAGCCGAATATTTCAATGGAAGAGATTGCTAAGAGATTGATAATCGATATCTCAACTGCATTTCACCATTTAAAGAGACAGAATCATTTCCAAACTCGACACGTGAGTGCCACATTCTCTGACGGAACAGAACAAAGATCGATCGTGTTTCAGAGGCAGTTTCTTTGTTCTTACGTTATGTTCTTGGACAGAATTGTCACAGACGATGAAAAATGGATAGTTTATAATAACATTCGACGCAAACGAAACTGGAAAAGGCCTGGTAATATGCAAAATCCGTGGCTAAAGCGGGCTTGTGTCCAATAAAAGTGTTGACATTGTTTAACCTCCGGTAAATGCACGAGAACCGATGATTCAACATGTATTGTTAATATTATTTATTTAGAATAAAGTATTTTGTAATGACAAAAGTCCGCAGGCGTAGGTTTTAAGAACTGAGAATATAAAATTCGAGTTTAATGTCCTTTTATATTCCCAGTAAAAAGAAATAGCTCCCCCAAAGAGGACAGTAACAAAACAAGGGGAGACCACTCTTGATCATTTATAACATATTATTGTTATGAACAATAGTTTCTTGGCTAATAAATGATTTCTTTTTGTGAGTATGGAAAATTTTGTTTATAATTTTCTAATCGGGTAAAAAATTTTGCAAACAGACAACCGCCATTTTCGACTAACGTTTTATTATTTGAGTCAATTTATTTGTACGAACGTGCATGCGTGTTGTTCGTGATGGTCTAATCAAATAATGTACTGAAAATAATCGAAGTGGGAGACATTGACGACTGTTTTATATTTGTTTAGTTGGTTTATAAGAATTCATTTTCGAAACTTAATTGCAATTATAATTTGAGTTAATTATCCCTTGCCTCTTAGCGACTAAGTATTCATTCTTTAAACTCCAATTGTTTCTCCTTCTTTTGACTAATAAATTATAATGTTTTCAAAAGACTTTTTTTCTTCTTGTAAAGATTTGCTTAAAATTACTAAAGCATCTTGTTCATTCGTTTTATCAAGAAAAAATGATATCTGTAAACAAAAAAAGTATTAAATGGTCAGATTTTGAATATCTTTACACATTTACACACACACACACACGTATATATGAGATAAGTATATATATATATATATATATATATATATATATATATATAGATAGATAGATAGATAGATAGATATAGAGAGAGATAGAGAGAGAGAGAGATTTTAAGACATTTTTATGTTTATACAAATTTTCTGTTTTATAATAAACAGTATTAAACAGCATTTACCGGCCTGAGTGTCCGAGAAATTTTCACAGAAAACATTCGCCCTCCGTGAACATTTCTCGGACATTTAGGCAGGTGAATGTTGCTTAATACTGTTTATTATATATTAGATAATATATATATACATATATATATATATATATATATATATATATATATATATATATATATATATATATATATATATATATATATATATATATATATATATATATATATATATATATATATATATATATATATATATATGTAAGATATATATGATATATATATATATATATAAGATATATATATAAGACATATATATATATAAGATATATATATAAGATATATATATATAAGACATATATATATATAATATATATATATATATGAGATAAGTATTTTATATATATATAAGATATATTTATATCAGTTATATATGTAATATATATATATATATATATATATGTGAGATAAGTATATATATATAAGATATATATATATATAACTATATATATATATCAGGTCATCCCATAAGTTCTGTTTGAATGTTAACTTTTTGTTAAAATGAACGAAATTTAAAGAATTTTTTTATAATGTCTAATGGAGGTGAACATTATTTTTATGTTTAGATGCATTTAAACTGATCAAATTTTATTTCAGAGAACAATAAAATTAAATATTGTTTGATTAAAACCCTGCTAACATGGAAGTACCCAAGAATCATTTTTTGCACATAATGCTTTATGAGTTCAAGAAAGGAAAATCAGCAGCCGAAGCGGCTAGAAACATTCACTCAGTTTATGGAGAGGAATGTGTGAATGAAAAAACTTACAGAAGATTGTTTGCAAAATTCAGAGGTGGAGATTTCACTCTTGAAGATGGAGATCGAACAGGACGTCCAGTTGAGTTTGATGAAAAGCTTCTTGAAGCAGACCATGAAGAAAATCCTGCTTTATCAGTTGAGGATTTGGCAGTGGTTCTCAGTTCAAACCATACAACAGTTCATCGTCATCTTCAACAACTTGGAAAAGTTCCTAAACTTGGAAAATGGGTGCCTTATGAATTGTCTGAAAACAACCTAAAATCCTGAGTTGACATCTGCTATTCTCTCCATTCTCGCCAACTTGTTTCACCTTTTGTGGATAGACTTGTGACTGGCGACGAAAAATGGATCTTTTATCGAAGCATCGTAGACAGTGGCTTGGTAAAGGGGAAGGACCCCAGCCACAGCCGAGAAGGGCAAAAGGTTCTTCTTTCAATCTCGTGGGATCGCCAAGGAATAATCCACTTTGAATTCTTATCACCTAATGCAACAATTAATGCTCAAATATACTGTCAGCAATTAGAGCGTTTGAACAAAGCTTTGAGGAAAAAAAAGACCTGCTCTAGTGAATCGAAAAGAGGTGATGTTTCATGAGGACAGTGCGCGACCCCACACAGCAAGAATCGCGTCACAAAAGATCGAATAACTTGGTTGGGAGAAAATTCCTCATTCACCTTATTCTCCCGATCTTGCTCCTTCAGACTACAATTTGTTTCGTAGCTTACAGAATCACTTGGAAGAAACAGCTTTTGTAACACAGGAAGAGGTTAAAACTGACATTTGTGAGTTCTTCGAATCAAAGCCAAAAGAATTTTACAGTAATGTAATTAGTAAGCTTGTTAATAGATGGAAGGAAATCATAGATAATCAGGGAAAATACATTGTTGATTGAATCTGTAATTAAATGTAACATTTGGTCACTTGTTTTCTTTATTCAAAATTAGGACAGAACTTATAGGATGACCTGATATATATATAAGATATATATATAAGATATATATATATATATATATATATATATGAGATAATATATATATATATATATATATATATATATATATAAGATTATATATATGAGATAAGTATATATATATATAAGATATATATAAGATGTATATATATATATGAGATTATTATATATATAATATATATATAAGATATATATATATATATATATATATATATATATATATATATATACACTGCGTGCCAAATAATTATCGAGATAACTTTTTTCTAATATTTCAAAAACTGTCCAATCAATTCACACAAATTTTTCACGCTGTATATGCATAAGATACATATATATATATATATATATATATATATATATATATATATATATATATATACTTTTATATATCAAGAACGATATTTAGGAAAATCTATGAAAAATGGAAAAAGCTTTCGTGAAAAATATGAATGCCAAATTAGTAGTATTACTTGCAAATGATGATAACTATTTCTGTCCAATTAGAATCGTACCAATCGCTCTCTGAAAGATGATGATGATGATGCTGATGATGATCTGTCGCATCTTCCCAGATGATGGCCGCCTAATCACGTTCGCTCCTCACCTCGCACTTCTCTCGTGCATGACCCCGAAGGTGACTTACCAGGCTGGCTGCGGACTTGCATGACTTATTACATTAGTGACAAACGAACAATGTGTCTGCCACAACCTTGCTGGATTCACACCGCTGTGCCTGATTCCTGTGCACTACCATGTGACTTTTCACTCCGGAACTGGTTGTGCACACGTTGTCACACAGTGTGCAGGCTGTGACACTCTGTGTCTGGGTAATGTGAGGGGCGATTTGTTTTCTGTATGTGATTTATATGATTCCCACAACTAGCCTTTGAAAGAAGCATGCGCTAACAAAAATCACATATCCAACCCTTGATACCCTCGTCGAGTTCATGGCTCTCTCAGTGCTAACCTTAATACGCACCGCTGCAAGCATTCATGAAGACAAACAGGAGCCAATATCAACACTATTATTGTACAAACCAATGGAATTGCTCAACCCTTCGATGCTAACTCCAAAGCTGACATGATTTACATTTACAAGGGCAAAGTCGAACCATAAAGGGTATTGCTGGCATATTTGGGCTGAAGCTGCCCAGTTTTGACAAGGGCAATAATCCAGGGATCTCTGCTTGGACATACTTTCTGGCTTATATTAACGATCCGCCCAGAAATAGTTTCAAATCATTCATAAATATCAAAGTAGATGATATAATCTAGAATGATTAGAGATTGGCAGTTGATCTCTGCCTTGCCTTAGCTCTAACAGCCAAATGGGAGAAAAACATTCAATACCCCTAAAACCAAGCTAGTTACATTCAATCATTGCTGATCGGACCCTGATCTAACACCAGTCACAATGAATGGATGTTCCCTCGGGGCTTTGAGTGACTGTTAGGCCTCAAACCCAATTCAGACCTCAAGTGGATCCCATCTATCTATCTATCTATCTATCTATCTATCTATCTATCTAATTTCATACCTATCTATTTCTGTCATTTCATATATATCAATCTATCTAATTTCGTATCTATCTACCTGAGTTATTTCTTATCTATCTATCTATCTATCTATCTATCTATCTATCTATCTATCTATCTATCTCAGTTATTTCATATCTATCTATTTATCTATCTGTCTGTCTGTCTATTTAAATTCATCAGTTCTTATAAGCTGTCAAAAATACAAAACTGTAGATTTCCCTAAATCTTTTCTAGAGAAATGTACTCTGACAATAAAATAAGAGGAGGAGAAATGGTCATCTTCACGTTTGGCATTATTTCCTAAAATTTTTTCTTTGAATGTAAATCACTGTTTAAAATGTTTCCTGAAATTATAAAAGAAAAAGCTTTCTGATTCAAATAGTGATGTCTCTTTTGTGCTTGACCTAAACTGCCTCAGATGAAATTGTCCGATTGTCTTTTCTTTGTTAAGCCATCCTGCATCCCCTGTAAAAATAGTAATCAGTTATAAAATAGGAATATCAGTATGTAATCATAGTTAAAAATGAAAGTTTAGCTGAAAATGTGAAACACATTTGTTAGGAACGATTGGATTAAGCCAAATATTTGTTGAGATGATCAGGGATTGGCAGTTGATCTCTCCCTTGACTTAGATCTAACAGCCCAGTGGGAGAAAAACATTCAATACCTTGAAAACCAAGCTAGTTACAGTCGATCATTGCCGATCAGACCCTGGACTAACACCAGTCTCAATGAATAGATTTTCCCTCAGGGCGCTTGTGTGAATATCAGGCCTCAAACTCAACCCAAACCTCAAGTGGATCTTGTTTGAGGCTCCGTGGAGAGATGAATGGAGGTATAACATCACCATCACTAGTGATCACTCCATATACCTTCGTAATCAACATTAAACTCATCCAATTCTTTTGGAATCCTCTGTGCTATTCTCAGATTGACACCCAGACACTCTGAAATGTTCGTATTGGAACTTCTGGTGAGAATGCCAGCAGTAGAGCATGCCGTTCCCAAATGTTTGGCCGAGTGCATTGCGTTATGGTAATCTTTTCTCACAGGTGGTGATCCTACTGTGGTGTGTAGTCGACAAAATCAAAAGCAAACAAGACGCATGCGCGAAATTAAAAATATAAAATGGCGACATTTTTGCTTCACTTTCTGGTTTATATTAACGATCCGTCCAGAAACATTTTCAAATCGTTCGTAAACGATCAAAGCAGATCTATAATCTAGAATGATCTGAAACTGTCAGCTGATCTCTCCTGTGACCGAGCTTTAACAGCTCAGTGGGAGAAGGGAAACCATAACATTCGATACCTCCCCTTACAAAACTAGTAGCGTTTCATCATCACTGCTGGTAATGGTGAATGGTGGGTAAACACTTGTAACTATTTTTATATCTACCGTGAAACGTTACGTACCAATTATTTGAGAATTGTGACTCAGGAGCTCAGAAAAGAAAGGATAAAATTGTTCAGGAATGCAGGGCTCAAAAAGTTAAAGAGACACACCTCTACTCCTGTTTAAAAAAAAACAAAAAACGGGGAGTTGCATAAATCGAGTGATAGGCGCACCGATCTACTATTATTGAAGAAAAAATAAATTAAGAATAAAAAAAATAAATAGTAAATAATATTAACAAGTTCAGGTCGAGACGCTGCATTTAAGAAAATACGGAAAAATAGTAAGACAAATAAAATAAGATAAAAATAAGAACATTGTTGTGGAACTTATTAATCTGTCAGTTCTTTAATAACTAATAAGTTTTAAGTTATTATTAGTTATAATAACGGAAATTAATTTATTCTTGTCACAACAGAGATTTTTCCATTAATTATTAAGGTAAACCCTTTTGTAAATTAATTGAAACAAAACAAATAATTCCATTATTATTTAATTTTTTTCGTGTTTTTCCAATAAAACATGGCCCAGTGCATATGTTAGTATTTCGTATGTCCATTCCACAAAGTCCTTCTTTGTAGATTAAACACAGATTATTGACTGGATTTAAAGCAGTCGAATTTCCGTGCCAGCCTATAGTACTATGAATTACTCACTGGTAAGGCTTGCTAGTGTGTTCGTGCAGCGTTACAGTTTTCGTACGCTTCCTTGGAGTAACGTCCATGGCAGACATTGGCCGTAGGACAATTAATCGACAGTCGAGACAATAGTGTCTGGGAGTGATAAAAATCTGATGCAATCACGCATTACGCAATATTTCTCAAAGACAAACAAATACACTTCGAAAATAGATTCATATAACTGTACACCACAAGCAAATGACCTAATCTGACAAAATAGAAATGGATTACACCCTGTCATTTCAGTGAGTTTAAAACTGACCGTATAGTGAAAGAAAGGAAATTAAAGTGTGTTTTTTTTTTCAATTAATTTGCACAAGGGTGTACATACGTAAAAGAGTTTCTTTAATAGATTCATCAGTCACTAAAATGTCAAGTAAGATAGCAAATACAATAACTGCAACGATCTGTGGACAAATATATTTTAAATTAATAAAAAATTAAAACTTATAACTGATTACCCAAACTGATGAACTTGATTTCAAACGCTAAACATAATTTTAATATGATTTCCACTTGTGATTCTTACGCCAAACAAATTAAATCCACCCTACGAATAATTAAACAATAATGCACAATAAATTATCCCTTGGTAGCAACTGAAGAATTTGAATTAGTTCGAAGACATATGGAGACTGTTTCAAGAGAAACGATTTAACACTACAGAAATTAGAACGAATTCCACTTATATTGGAGAAAGAAAAATTGAAACGCGTGGGTAATTTTTTGAGTACTGATTTACACGTATTTCTTTTCTTTGTATCTGTCATAAGAAAATTTATTTTAAGAAGAAAAAGGTCAAAATAATTATCACTGCCTAATCGTCTATGGCAATGTAAACTTGTCCAGAAGGTGTCTAAGACTAAAGCATCATGCAGTATCAGGGCTGCCCACCGGAAATACATGCGCGGTCACCTAACCATGCGCAACATGGCACTACAAATACCCCGATATTATGTTGCAGGATAAGCACAATTCGAAGATTGACAACCTGAAGTAGTTATACCAGTTTTTATCCGAAATTAGGTTAAGTACAACAAACATTAGAATGATGAGTCAACCCAAAGTATTTATGTTCTTATCCTGAAATGGGGTGTTGACGATAATAAAAACAGATGCATATCGATTGGCCAAATGGCTGGTCAAACAGGAACTATATTCCATATGCACCGTTATTAATTTCAGCGTATCCGGTTGTCAACTCTCGAAGTTTTCAATACAGCCACGCTTCATAAAATGATATGGTTACGTACAGCGAGCTAGTCGCTAAATGCAAAGTCATACCATGTCTGTTTTTTTGCACGCCTGCACATTGAGAGCGTTTCCCAGTCCCTAACCCAAATGTTAAGTAAGATAGCAAATACAATAACTACAGTTATCTGTGGACAAATATAATTTAAACTAATAAAAAAAAACTAATACTTATAAGTGATTGCCCAAACTGATGAACTCGATTTGATCTCTATGAAACATTAAAAAAAAATTTTGATATGGTTTCCATTTGTGATTCTTACGCCAAACAAATAAAATCCACCCTCCGAATAATTAAACAATAATGCACAATAAATGAATGTATTTACGGTATTAGTTTACTCTGACATTAAACATATTATTCAACACCAGGAAAAACTCATCAAAAGTCTTAACGTTGTGTTGGTCTGGACTGGACTGGTCTGGTCTGGACTGGACTGGTCTGGTCTTCACATGTCCTCACATTGAGAGTGTCTGTCTTGACTGAGAAATACACCGGTGTCATATAGCTCTACCAGTCCCAGACCCACGCTGACTATTGGTTACTACCTGCCCAGTATCGTTCATATGTAAATAGGCAGCGCCACCCACTCAAAGTGGTTTTTTTTTCTCAACAGCCCATTGTGGAAGGGGACACAACTCCTGGTAATTACAGCACCACATACAACTAACTCGGAGTCTTTTATCGGGCCGACCCGATTGTCTGTTACAACTACTTCAGGTATAATACCTGTGTATTGGCATTCTTTAAATCAGCTTCAGATAGCTTTAATAATTACTTTTACACCTTTTGTTTCATGAAACAGTTAATGTCATACGCTCTTTTAATAACGCAACTGTAATAAAGTTACATGAAGCAGGCCCTTTACAATTTTTCTAATTGTTTATACAGCATAAGAGTGTAGACAAATTAAAAAAATCAGTTCTATATTTTATATTCAGTTTGAAGACTGTAAATATTAGTACAAGTAATTTTTTAATTTATTTTATATGATATTAATTTATATTAATTTTCTCATATATTTGATAATTTTATATTTTTATTATTTTCTTCTTTATTTATTAATTTCTATTGTTGTCATTTAAAATATATAATATACGGTTGGCCAAAAAGACCTGACTCATTTAGAAAGCGGAAAGAAAACAACAATATTTTATGGAGCATCACCAACATTTATTCTTCAAAATAAAGTCCATCATTCGCGACAATCTTCTGCCACTCCGAATCTGTCCCACTGGTTTTCAGTAAAAAAAAAGAAGCTGTAAGCAGTTTCCTTCACTTCATCAAAAGTGTTGAATCTTTGGTCGCATAGGAAGTGTGCCATTGAGCGGAGTAGACCATAGTCGCTCGGAGTAGCATCGGGACTGAATGGTGGATGTGGAAGAATCTGAACACAGTTCATCCGTTTGAACTTTTCCTTAGTCAACATTTAATCGAACGATCCTCTGTGGCTCGATCGGTTAAGGCACGTCAGGCTATATGACGGTTCCGTATAGTATACACGTTCGATTCTTGTCGGAGGACGAATATTTTCTATTAAACTTTATCGGACATTCAGGCCGGTAAATATTATTAATACTATTTATTATAAACAGAGCATTTACTTAAATATTTGTATCTATAAAAAGAATGTATAAACATAAAAATGTCTAAAAGTAATTGTCGGACTTGGTCCATTTCATATATATATATATATATATATATATATATATATATATATATATATATATATATATATTATGTATTAAAGTTAACAAATACGTTGGTATATAATCCAAGTGGATCCTGGTAATATAAAATATTAAAACTGATCGACAAAAAGAGCTCAATGGATTTATTATTACAGAGCTAATACTTAATACACAATAAAATCTCAAATCACCTTATATGGGAAATAAGCGTATTTCGACAGATGAAAATATAAGTCGTCTGTCTTATCAACCCCCGTATGGACTGAGCATCAGAAAGAGAAATCTAACTGTGGAAGCTAAAAAATACACACACATACATACACACACAAACAAACAAACACACACAAATATATATATATATATATATATATAGGTAGGTGTATTTTGGCTCAGATCTTCTGGGACTGAGCTTTAAAGTCAGATGATATACAAAATAGGGATGTCGATTTTGAATGAGTTATATATTAAGGTTTTACGAAGAGTGTTATTTGGATATCACGCTAGCTAGATGTGTTAGATTGCGTTTGTGCACCCCACCCTAGTGAGGGAAGGGTCTTTCGAGATTTGGTTGTTATACGTCCAAGGGAATGGACGTGTGATATTTTGGTGTAGGGAAGCGGCTCCCAAATAAGGGTGTAGTAACTCCCACTTGATAGATGTACCCGTCGACGTGGTTAATAAAATAATAGTTAAGTTAAAAGTTCTCTTTGTTCATACTTTCGTCCCTGAACCCAAAGAACATTTCGCGATACCGGTAAAGAGAAGAAGAGGATTAAACTAAAACATCCAGCGATCACTGGCTAGACGAGATGTTGACCACCTCCCCCCAACAACCCCCTCCCAATGAAGAGTATATAACACTGTGTGGAGAACTGGCGACCGGCATGAGAACACGAAGGCGACCTCACCTTCGCTTCAAGCACGTCTGTAAAAGAGACATGAAGCCGATGGACATCGAGAGGTGGGAAGACGTCATTAACGATCGTTCACGCTGGAGAAGCGATTCACATTGATGGCTGGAGCGAAGAGAGAAGAAACAGGGTCTTGTTACCGGGGCGAAGCGTGCTCGATGAAAAGAAAACAACACAGCGACATTGGGATAGAAGGTCTTCACATGCATTGGTTGCAATCGAGACTGTCACTCCTGTGTACAGCTATCCGCAGCTCAGGCATAACTTTTGGGGCGCGGATACAAGGTCTCTCGAGACTAACGAATGCCACATACATATTTAATTTGATTTATTTTGAAGAAAAAAAGAAAAAAAAAAACTGGGCCCGATTTTTTAAATTCTTTATTTTATGAGATTTCATTACAGGTCGTAAGTTCGGGGTCATAAACCTGTAAGTCGTTAAGTGAGGAGTGGCTTAAAATATATACATTTCTGTTTGGTTTTCGTATTTAGAGTTTTATGCAAAATTTAAGAAAGTAATTGCCTGATTCTTTCATATGTCGACGACATATCGAAAGATACATTCTGTGGACATCTCTACGAGCTGAATATGTGCCTATATAGCGGAACAAGAAAAATTCTTTGAATGTTGTTTGTGATAATCACCAATGAAGCAGAGTAACGTCAGCTTTTAGATTCAGAAAAGTTGAAATTGATAGCCGTGCAAATCGTCTGAAAATTAAGGACATTTTACGTTACACTTCTAAAGAAAACGCTGAAATATGTGGAGGACAATATTATGTTTTCATCGAGTTTTGTCAATACCTCTGGGATATTTGTTAGCAAGTTGGAGCCGGATGTCCAGCTGTGTGCGCATGCGCACTTTTCATCCTCACCAAACAAGGGAGACATCGATTCGTGTGGTAGCTATCTTTTGGGAATCATCCGGCTAGTTTTTCAAATTGAACGGGGTCGGAAGTCGGTGGCCTGTTTAAAACAAAATTTGTTATCAAGAGGAATCATTTTTGGCACGGTTTTGTCTGTTCTGCTAATTGAGTGTTTATACGATCTTTCTCATTCCTTTCTAGCTCTTCTCTCTTTCTCTCTCTCTCTCCCCTTTTCTCCTTATCTAAACCTATTCATCTCTCTCCACCTATCTACATTTTCTCTTCACACGCACGCACGTACGCACACACACACACACACACACACACACACACACACACACACACACACACACATATATATATATATATATATTTGGTTGATAGATGTGAGTTTGTGACCTGCATATAATATATAAATAAATATATATATATATATATATATAAATAATTATACATATATATACACACACACACACACACACACACACACACACACACACATATATATATATATATATTCAGTCTGTTCATCTTTATCTCTACGTCATCTTAATGTCTCACAAGTCAATGATAGATGGTCTGTGATGCAGAACAAGGACATAGACCAACAGGGATAAAAAAAAATCAAAGCAAAAAACGAATAGATAGGGACAAAACTTTAAAGCTATTCATTTCCTGACGTGTGCGGTGTGTGTGTGTGGGGGAGGCGTCTTATTTAAATTTTCTTCTTTTTCCTTTTCTTCTTGATCTGATTTTCTCCTTTCTTTCAATTTTTCAGGCAACGGCCATTCTAAGGCAGTACCTAAGTTCTCTTATTTTAAATGCAATGTTTCATAAAACAGTTAATGCTCTGCGTCCTTTTAATAAAGCGGCTGTAATAAAGTTGCATGAAGCAAGGCCTTCCCAACTCTGTTCCAAACATTTTCTCTATGTAACACGCATTTCCCGCCATATAACACGCACCTGTGCATAACGCGCATTTATCATTTGACAACGAATATTTGGTGAAAATTAATAATATTCGGTTGATGATTCATCTATGCTTCGATTTTTTTAAAAAAAATATCTGTGTTTTGATTCTTATAATTTAATCATATTTGTATGTTAGCTCTGTAGTCCTCCATGCTCCGACGCCTCACAACGGTAGGTGTTGCTGATGTGGTTTCTATAGCAACTAGTTGTTTTTTTTTACATGGTGGAGTTGCTAGCTCCATGTACAATCCGAATTCAGAGCTGTTCTTCTCCTAGACTGGCTGCCAACCATAACTGAAAGCCTAGTTGTTATCCATTAGCGTGTTGTGGGGGTAGAGATGGATTCGCATGTTTCCGAGGGTGGAGTATGGACTCGTTAGTCCCACCTTCCGCGCCGATAACTATTCCGCTTAATGATTTATAGCCATTTCGTGTTTCATTATGAGTTCAAAAAGCGGTATATCAAAGTTTTAGTATACCATCGGTAACCCAACCCATATGATATGTAAGGCGATACTTGGAGGGAATATTTTGTAAAAAGTGCGCTTTTATGTCAGAATAGAGGGTACTTAGTACTTTAGGCCTAAATGAAGTGGAATCATTTTATTGCAACTACAGGCGGAGCTGTAAATGGCGCACCCGTCATTGTCTGCCATCAAAGTAGAAGTAATGATGCAAATCATTGTGGCAAGACGAAAGCACATTTCCCGTCGAATTCCGAAATATAAAAGTTTCCCTACGTTGTATCTCTTTCTTTCTTTTTTCCATCTCTCTTTACCACCTTTTTACTCTCTCCTTCCCTTTCTTTCCATCTCTGTCACTACCCCTCTCCCTTTCTTTCTTTCTTTCTTTCTTTCTTTCTTTCTTTCTTTCTTTCTTTCTTTGTCTATCCCTTCCTTTCTTTGTTTCTCTGTCGCCTGCCCTTTCATTTTTCTTTCTTTCTTTCTTTCTTTCTTTCTTTCTTTCTTTCTTTCTTTCTTTCTTCTCTGTATCCCTTCCTTTCTTTGTTTCTCTCTTGCCTTTCTTTCTTTCTTTCTTTCTTTCTTTCTTTCTTTCTTTCTTTCTTTCTTTCTTTCTTTCTTTCCCGTGATTCCTTTTTCTCTCTTTCTTTTTCTTTCATTCTCACTTTCTCTCACTTTCTTTCCCTCATTTTCTTTTCTTTCTTTCTTTCTTTCTTTCTTTCTTTCTTTCTTTCTTTCTTTCTTTCTTTCTTTCCCTTCAAGAACAAACGATGATAATTCCTAGAACTGTGTGCCAAACATTACTCTACCAGTCATACATTCTTAGTAAACAACATCAAAGGCAATTGTAAGCTTCTTAATATACTCCATGACACACTTAGGGCGTCAGCAGACACCGGGCAGCAACTCTGCCGACAATGACATGAATGTATTAGAGCTGTTATCGATTTTTAAAATAAAATCAGAGAGCCGAGTTTGAATCCTAGTCAATTTCAACATACCTTATATTGTGATTGCTCAAAGTGTCCATATCATGGAATGAGTCGTCTTATTATAACACGCTTATTTCCATTTTCCAAATAAATGTTTCAAAGTATTATCTATTATTAACTCTCCTTTCTCTCATCTAGACGCGTAAAAGTCATTGTGAATGATTACTCTTAAGGCGTCACCTAGGGTTCTTTCCTAAGTTCCCCCCGGCATCTGTGGGTGTATGCTTTAACGATCCGCCGAGGAACATTTTCAGATCATTCGTATATTTCTATACAGATAATACCATTATTTATGGGCTCACTTCCAAAAATTAAGCGGGTCAATACGACTGACATTTTCACAGTTCAATGGGGGAAAACCTGACTTGTAATTTTCAAAAGCTCAAAGCCCAAGGTAGCACCATTTCATCATAACCAACCTCTTTCTTCTGGTAGCCACATTTAATGGAATCTGCATCTGTCTATATTTCAATATGTTTAATACCCGGTTAAAGCAGTGGAGAACTTTCAGAAGGGAATTAACAGATTAACAGATAACTGTCATCCATTAAACATGGCACGTGGAACTAGAACAGTCTACCCCAGTGAGCGAAATAAAGGGTTCAGTTCGACATTCCAACCACCTGACGAAGGCCGGAGCGTACAACAGCCGAAACGTTGTAATAAATATGGCGACAAAGATGAGGACAATAGTCCGAATAATGTAATTAATGGAATCTGTTACGTTTCTTCTTGATCGACTTATCTCTGACGTCGTATTTTTTTTTTTTTTGGATGGGGAGGGTATATTTTATAACCACTCCACCTAGCTAGCCTCCTGTTCTTCAAATAATTAAATATCAATTAAATATCTAATATTGGTTTCTATTCACTTGCTCTCCTGCATCAACTATAGGGAGAGGAGCTGATCTAAGAACTCTTAAGAACTAATGTATATCCTCCTATTATTGCTTCAGACAGCGTTGACCATAGGAAGATATGCCTATATACTTTGGTCAAGAAACAGTATGGAAAAATTCACCCGTCCTAAATGAGAGCTATCTGTTATGTTGTCCAAGTAATTTACTTTTCTGGAATAGTCCTGATGGCGACCCATAGTTTTTTTTTGCTAACGTCTTCGCCTAACTCTGGACATTTATTTACTATTTATTTACATTTTTCCTCAATAAAAATAGATATGTTTACCTATCGTCCGGTTCACACTCCTCCCCGGTCTTTTGAACAGGAATAGTGGTTTATCCCTTGTTTCCTATTTAGGATTGGGTTCCATTTCCTTCTAAAGTTTTCTCTTTCTCTTTCAGTTCCGGTGACTCGTTGCATCTTGGTGGCAGATGACTGGGGTGGAACTTCTCAATCTGAGACCCTCTATGACGAATGGCTCTTGGACCTTGTAGAAAGTGAACATCGTAAAAACTTAAACCTACGTTTTCTCTAGTCACGATGTAACGTTGCACTCTCTACTGGGTCTGCAGTTTTACCCAGACCTCAAGTGGAACTCGTGGATAACTCAGTCAGTCAGTTATGTGCCATGCATGATACATGCTTAGGCGATCATGTATCTTTCGATACATAACTGACGATGCAGATTTTTTTCCCGCAGTATGTGGCCATTTCTTTCTGCGGTAGACCAGTTGCCATCTAAGGCTATAGAACCCGGTCTGTCCTGCTATTTACCCATAGCTGGAGGGAGAAGAAGAGAATTCATCCTTTTCCCAAGGGTATTAGTACGTAAATGAGTGTTATGGATTCGACTGGAATTCGAACTCGGCTCTTGAATTCCTCAATCCGAACTGCTATCTATACAGTATCAAAATGTTGTTTTGAATTCAGAGTTTTCCTTCTCCTAGACCAGTTGCCATTCAAACCTATAGAACCCTGTCTGTCCTGCTATTTACCCATAGCTGGAGGGAGAAAACAGAATTCATACCTTTCCCAAGGGTATTAGCACGTAAGTGAATGTAATGGATTCGACTGGAATTCGAACTCGGCTCTCTGATTCCTCAATTTGAGCCGCTATCCATTACCGTGTCTCCTTTTACTTGATAACTACTCTGCTTATTCTGCCGCTTAAAAAAATGTTTGGGTTGGAAGATGTCGATCCTCATTTAAGGGAAATACACTATTTACATGATTCGGTCTATTGTCCTCATCTTTGTCGCCATATTTATTACAGCGTTTCGGTCTTTCAGTTCGACATTCCAACCACTTCTTCAAGTGGTCGGAATGTCGAGCCCTTTATTGAACTTACACTCTTTGGGTCCTGTCACTGGATCTAACTAACGCCTTTATCCACTCAAGATCACATGGCACAGTGAATAAAGACGTTATGTATTGCCTCAAGATCACATGGCACAGTGAATAAAGACGTTATGTATTGCCTCAAGGACAAATGGCACAGTGAATAAAGACGTTATGTATTGCCTCAAGGGCACATGGCACAGTGAATAAAGACGTTATGTATTGCCTCAAGATCACATGGCACAGTGAATAAAGACGTTATGTATTGCCTCAAGATTACATGGCACAGTGAATAAAGACGTTATGTATTGCCTCAAGATCACATGGCACAGTGAATAAAGACGTTATGTATTGCCTCAAGATCACATGGCACAGTGAATAAAGACGTTATGTATTGCCTCAAGGACAAATGGCACAGTGAATAAAGACGTTATGTATTGCCTCAAGGGCACATGGCACAGTGAATAAAGACGTTATGTATTGCCTCAAGATCACATGGCACAGTGAATAAAGACGTTATGTATTGCCTCAAGATCACATGGCACAGTGAATAAAGACGTTATGTATTGCCTCAAGATCACATGGCACAGTGGATAAAGGCGTTAATTAGATCCAGTGACAGGACCCAAAGTGTGTGAGTTCAATACCTGGTTAAGGTGGTGGAGAACTTGGAGAGGGGAATTAACAGGAGATAACATATAACTGACATCCATTAGACATGGCACGTGGAACTAGAATAGTCTACCCCAGTTAGCGAAATAAAGGGTTCAGTTCGACATTCGGACTGAAACGTTGTAATAAATAGGGCGACAAAGATGAGGACAATAGTCCGAATCATGTAAATAGTGTCCATAATACCTCATCTCAGAAATATAGACAGATACTGAAATGCTGAAACGTTGTGATAAATATAGTGACAAAGATGAGGAAAATAGTCCGAATCATGTAAATAGTGTACATAATACCTCATCTCAAAAATATAGACAGATACTGAAAGTCCGAAACGTTGTGATAAATATGGCGACAAAGATGAGGACAATAGTCCGAATCATGTAAATAGTGTACATAATACCTCATCTCAGAAATATAGACAGATACTGAAAGGCCGAAACGTTGTGAGAAATATGGCGACAAAGATGAGGACAATAGTCCGAATCATGTAAATAGTGTACATAATACCTCATCTCAGAAATATAGACAGATGAAAAGGCCGAAACGTTGAAATGGCGACAAAGAAACAATAGTTGTGTACATAATACCTCATCTCAAAAATATGGCGATAAATATGGCGACAAAGATGAGGACAATAGTCCGAATCATGTAAATAGTGTACATAATACCTCATCTCGGAAATATAGACAGATACTGAGGGAAATACTTACTCTTCAATTTGCGGCCTCAATTTACTACAGAGGCAAAATTACAAGACTGTCGCTAATCTTTATTATTTCTTTAGATCTTCAGATGTATTCCATTATTCAGTTTCACTAGTTCCGGCTTTTACAACCCATTCTATGCTACTATCACGGATTGGAATCATGCTCATTTGCTCTCGATTCTTAATCTAACACAGATTTTCCCCAAGATCTTTTATCTATGAGCTGTTAATTTGCTAGTTGAGTGCTTCCCAGAAGGCTACACAATCTTAACTCCTTCAATTGAAGAGTCAATTGTTATCTGTCCCCACTTTTCATCATAATCCAGACCTCCCACCACCTTCCCAGCAACTGATCTCACACGTCTCATTCATCATTACTATTTTAATAGTTACGCTCTACCTTGAGTGGCAATCTAGCTTTCTAGTGCGTAAATATTAGTTTTCATAGATTTTAAATACTGTTTACATTCGAGTATAGCACGATTTCGATTTTATTATCAATTTTTACGCTAATATAAGGGGTTGCATTATACATAGAAAATTTTATTTTTGAAGAGGATAATAAACATTCATTTTCAGTTGCCGTTTTCACTATACACAAGTAAGTCTTTTTTTTTGGAGGGCTTAAAATTCATGCAAAGTTCAAAGGTCGCACTATACATGAAGTCGACTTATACACAAGTATATACGGTATGTAAATTTCTATTTCATTTTTATACTGACAATTTAAACTGACTTATTGCGATTTAGGCAATGTTCAAGAAATAATCTCATTTCTTTGATATGTTGAATCGAGTGATGCATTCTATTGATTTTCATGCTAATGGTATAGATGTACCAAGCAGACGATAAAAATTTCTGAATTTTTCCAATTTTGGGTTCATAAAAATTGCAATTGATAGCCGAGAAAAAGCACTGAAAATGGGAATACATTATTTTAGGCTTTCTAAAATCCAGTACCACTCTCTGTCGTCATATTAATCAGTGGCGGGTTTTTTTTTGAAAAGAAGAGGAGGATGTTGGCTACCCTGTATTCTAATCCAATTCACTTGGAAATCAAAGTTTGAAGGAATTATTGAACGTCATATGTGGAAATGATGTCATGACAGTAGCTGTAGACTTTTTTGAGATTTCTGCAGCAAAAAAAAAAAATGATTTTTAAACTGGTTGCTTTTT